GGAGAGCCTGTATCAGATCACTGAGTACACCAGCCTGGAGAGTCTCTTTCCTCTGGGGTGTCCTACTGGGGACGGTCATTAATTTTCCAGGTAAAAGCCAATTGAGGTGAGGGTTTCTGTTACTTACAGCCCAAAGCATCTGCTTATGCTGATGTTAAGGAAATAGGCTGTGAGGAGGCTTCCTCACAGAGTCTTGCATGGTGCCGTGCCCCCAGGCAGCAGCAACTAGGGAGAGGGGGGCATTTAGGATCCTGACACATCACAAATGACAGGCAGCACTGCAATTCAGCCCTGCATTCTGCTCACCACCTACCACAAAAGCAGGTTGAAGGGGCAGGAGAGGGCAGCCAGGACTCAGTTCTGGGTTCTAGACGTGGCCCCGCATTTGACTGGTTGTGCACCTATGGAAGCTACCCCCCTCTGTGAGTCTTTGCTTTCTTACCTGTGAAATGAAGGGATTGGACTAGATGTTCGAGGGCCCTTCCAGCTCTCTGATTCTCTGATGTATTGTCATCTGTCTAAACCCCTTAAGATGCTTTATTGAAAAATAGAGTGGGGGATGGTGGTGGCTAAGGTTCGGGGTGGTAGAGGGTTAGTTTATTCCAGTGACTGCCTTTGTGTCACCAAGACTGGCTGAGAAAAACGTTCTCTCTTCAGAAAGGTGTGAAGTTGTCCAATTTTCACAGAGATCGCGGAGTGGGGCAATGAGGAGACAACAGAGTTTGAGGTGACTGCTCACCACATTTGCATGGTGAATCTGCTCTGAGGACCACAGAGAACATTGTTCCCTTCATTGTAGGGCAGGGGTAGGGGTGGGAGGGCAGACACTCAAGAACCAGCTGTTGTGGCTCTCTGATCCCTCCAGCTAAAGTATCCTGGAGTTGGAACAGCATTGCAAACTCTCTGCAGATAGAAATACTGGATTGCTTTAGGCTGTAACATCTGCTTTACATTCATATCCAAAGCAACACTAGCCTAAATTCAACATGTAAAATAATAACCCAGCATGCTTTCTTATCTTTCTTTTGTCCCCCTGTCCTTACTTACCTCCTGGACTCAGTGTCCTGACATTGCTTTAGGGATGCTGGGCCACCCCAACCCACTGCTACCTCTACCACTCTTCTCTGGATATTTCCCCAAGCTGGTCTTTCCTGAACAGCTCTGACATTGCCCTCTCATGTTTAAATCTCAATCCATGTACACCTCTATTTTCCAAGTGGATTGGTCTCAGATAAGTGTCATAAAGGCAATCTGGTTTAACAAATTCACACTGAATAATGAATGACTACTGGATTTTTGCCACAGCTAACTTTTCCTTCCTCCCTCCCTCCCTCCCTCCCTCCCTCCTTCCTTCCTTCCTTCCCTCCTTCCCTCCTTCCTTCCTTCTCTTTCTTTCTCTTTCTTTCCTCCTTCCTTCCAGAAATTTACTAAGTTGAAGTAATTTCTAATTGTCCAAAATATTAGGCACCATAACAACAGTGAAGAGACTATTTTCTGGTAGGGAAAAGAAATTGTGGAGGAAGCAGGCACTGGGACATATACTCAACTTTGTCTCTGTTTTTTGTTAACCTCAGAAATATACTACACAGTCAGCAGATAAACGTGGCTTCTAGCATCTGTAAGTCCAGCACACTCAACCTGAGAATGTTAAAAATATTCTAAAGTTGACACACACAGAGTGGTCTGGTGGAAGAAAATGGCATTGGGTGACTGTGACATATATCATGATGGAAATATGGGTGGAAACATGGAAGCCCTGCTTATCTAGGCTGTACAGGATTTGGACAGACCCCAGGGAACCTAAGATAGTCAACACATCCCAAATGACTAGCACTGGCTAGCCACCGTTCTAGTGTTCTACGTGTATTAACTCATAATCCTCCCACACAAATCAGTGAGGTAGGCACTAGTATTATCCCCATTTCACACATGAGAAATGGAACCACAGAGAATTAAGAACTTTCTCAAGGGCATACAGTAGTAGAGCCAGATTTTGAACCCGGGCCTGGTGGCTTCAGGGCCACGCTCAGGCCGTGCCCCTTCACACCTCTGATTTGGGGGGTATGTACCTCTCATGCTGGCTCCTGGTGGTTTGGGGGCCCACCTTCATCTAAGCTTCCTCCTACCTTTCCAATCTAAATGGCCTGTCCCATGCTCTGTCTACTCTGTCTCATGAAATGAAAATGTAATTAACCAATGTCAAGGTACAAAAGGTATCTGTACTTCGGTTATTAAACATTTTCTGCTGCCTCCTCCATGTCTAGAAAAATGCTAAATTCTATGAGGAATACAAAGATCAATGCTGTGTGGTCCGTCCCTCAAGGAGCTCATAGTCGAGTTCAAAAGATTAATGTGAATAAGTGTAATGCTGGACAGAAAGGGCTTGAGCCACAGGGTAGGTAAAAAATAAGGAAGAGGAAGAGATTACAGCCTGGGGCTTTGCTCTGGAGACGGATGATGTAGCTCTGAGCTTAACTTTGAAGCCTGAGCTAAAGAAAAGAACAGTCCCACTGGCAGAAACAGCAAGAGCAAAGGCCTAGAGAAAGATGGGCATGAGCAGACTGGAGGAAGGGCAAGTGAGCCTGCAGGCTGGTGCAATGGGAATAGCTGGCAGGGAGTAGGGGTTGAGTTTTACCAAAAAACAAGTTTGGGTACAGACTGGAGACAGAAGGGCTTGGTTATTCCCTTTCAGATGCTTTATGCAGTGGTGTTCTGACAACAGCACTTTAGATCCTTGATTCTCAAACTAGGTTCTCCAACCACCCAGGGGTACCCAGCAATGTGCTAGAAGGACCAAAGCCACACGGTGATCATTGTACATCTTCTTGGAGCAACATTTTTTTTCTGATGGATAGTATTTCAAAATGTTACTTTCATATAAAAACAAATATGGGTACATTATGGCATAGGATGTAACATTGCTATCATTTTTCAGCTAAAACAGGAGATTCCAGGTAGACCAGTTCGGGCTGCATTTGGAAAAGACAGTCAGACTGTCTAATAACCAGTTGGAGCAGCAACCAGTCAGAATGGGAGAAGGACCTGAAGGACGCCTGCAGCATGAACGGTTAACCCTTTAGTTGCTGGATGGTGGAGACGCCTGGAGCCCTAAGGGAGGGGCCGGGACAGCAGTGAGGGAGGCACTCAGGGGCTCAGGACAGCATCCATTTCCCAACCGACAGGGAAATATGTCAGTATTTTAACAACCAGCTGCCTAACTGTCCTGGCTACCCTCCGAGCAGCTCCAGGGAGCACACTGGCTTTTATTTTCCACTAGGTAAATGCTGCAGAAACTTGGAGGAGGGTGCTTTGATTTATGGGGCAACTCCATGTGGGAGTTAGGGATCTGAGGGTAGGGGAGAGGTTTTCTAGGGTGCAGTATGGCCCTGGGGGCCCCAAAATCACAACATCCAAGTGACCTCATCCTCAGCCCTTGCTGATAGCCTGGCCTGCCTGATCTATCTGGTGCTAATACAGCCAAGGGAGTTCTCATCTCTGAGCGGTGCCCCCACAACACAGAGCTTCTGTAAGAGAGCAAAGCCCACTCTGGCCTGGGCTTGCTTACATTCACCTGTAAGTATTTTCCTCACAAGTGCTTTGGGGGACAAAAATTATCCAGACTCTTTGCCATACATCAAGGATACTTGAAGGCATTTGAAATATAATGAGTATGTAGCCATAAAAGACATGCCTCATAAGAATCTTTTGAAAGAATAAAACAAATGATCCTGCCTTTGTATCTTGCCTCTCAGAGGCAGCAATGAGTCCCCTGGTGCTCTCCGCAAATCACAAACTCAGGTATAAATTACAATTAGTAATTAGGTTCTTGCACGGGAAATGCCTCAGTTAAGCAGGCAAACCTTCTACCTTTGGCTTGGCTACTTCAAGCCGTTCCTGTCTCCCCAGGCTTGGCGAGGAGGCAGAGATGCCTAGCCCTTTCCACCTGGCACAGTCCACTTCTCAAGATAAAACAGGAAATGCTCCCTTCTTTACTCTCAGCCCTTCTTGAAGCCAGAGTTGGCCAGGTAACCCAATTCTGGCCAATGGGATATAAGAACAGTATGCTGAGGCTTCTGGGAAAACCTTTGCTCTCTCCTAAAAAGAGAAAGATAATAAGAGGGTGCTTTTGTCTCCCCCCACTTCTTTACTGCCTTGGACACTGTCATGTGGCATGAGAACTGTGGAGCCATCTATCGAGTGTGCGTGGAGACACGGCTGACACACATAAAAGGGCAGAGTCCCTGGATGGTAGGACCTGGGTCCTTCTTCATGTGGACCAGGTCTTGGTCAGCCCTTCCCTCTTCAAATTTTATTATGAAAGAAGTAAAGTCCTATCTTTACCTGACTTTTAGTCATATATTGTTACCTGTAACAAAAGCATCCTACAGTATTCAGGATAAACTAGACTTTGCTGCTGTAACACATCGACTCACAAATTTAGGTAGGTTAAACACTGAAGGCTTCTTTCTTGTTCCCTACAAGGCCAGTGAGAGTTGGACAGACCTCCTCGCTCTGGGGCTTTGGCAGTGCAACCCCCCAGGTCAATGCGCAGAGGAAGAGAGTCCTGCAGGATTACATGGACCGTGCTGAAGGCCCGGAAGTGGCTGCCATCACTTCTGCCCACATTTGATGGTCCCATCCAACCTAACTTCATGAGGGCTCCCTGTGGACATATACAACCGTGTCACTGAAACACTCCCTCATTGATAGACTATTGTGTTTATCCTCCTTCTATCAGAAAGTCATTCACTTGTTCAATAGACATTCACTGAATTTATTGTAACAGGCAAGCCATAGGGAATATGAACGGAAGACTTGGCAATCTTATACACCACTGCATCCCCAGTCTTCAGAAAACACTAAATAAAGTGTAAATAAACATATATGATAGATTAAAACATGCCCAGAGATTAATATTAAATTATACTAAATGTGTACATATAATAATATCTATTAATATACTTCAATTCATTCATGTTTCCTGCCCTCAAGAAGCTTACCATCCAGGTGGGCATCAGATGAGCAGGTAAGCTGAAGTTCCATGTGGCAGACATTCTCCCAGAGGCAGCAGTGTGGTAGTGGGGTGGGGCTCAGAGCACACAGGCTAGCTTGGGCCACAAAAAATCAGGGAAGGCTTCAGAGAGGAGACAACATGTGGCGAGGGTCTGGAAGGATGAAGAAGAATTTGCCAGAGAAAGCTGGTCAAGTGGTAAGTCTGGGAACCCGGAAGGAGCATGTCTACGTGTGTGGCATTGTGACAGGTCATGGCTGGTAGGGCCACAGCCAAGAGTGCCTGTGCGTGTCTGCAGGATAGGGGGAAGGTGCGGAGGGGCAGGACTTGGGGTGGTGGAGAGGATCTAAGGTTCTAAGGCAGAGGTTCTCAAACCTGGCTGAAATTGGAATCACCTGAGTAACTTTAAGAAATTACCAGGGCTCAGGCTTTCCCCACAAACCAATTAAATAAGAGTTTCCCTGGGTTAGAGCCTGTGCATCAGTATTAGTTCCCAGGTGATTCTAATGGGCAGCCAGGGCTGCGAGCCACTGCTCCAGAGGTAGGTGGGGAACAGGTTTGCTGGTCTCGCTCAGAAATGGACCAGCAGCACCCTGTAGATGTGCCTCTCTCTCCTCCCTCACTGGTCTCAAGACTCCTGAAATGGAAGTCCTTTAAAATCAGAAGTGGGGGAAGAGAGCTGCCCACTCTTGTTGTTATTTTTCCCTCCTCTCATTGTTCCTTCTCTGCCTGACGGTCCCTCTTCTCCTTTACCTGTGGCACCCTGGGGTCTGAGAGCAGTTGTGCTGACAGTTGCAGGAAATTTCTCAGCCCCTGGAGGCTCCAGAGACACAGACAGGGCAGATGCCAACCTCCGTTCTTAGTTAATTACTGTGTACAAGAAGGGCCATCCCCACCCAGAGGGGTCCCCTGCACCTCCCTCAGTGTACAACCTCCTCCTCCGTGCAGCATACCCTGTTTTGTGCCCCAGAGTCCCTCAGACCAGCCAATGGCAGAGGTCACCTAAGACTGACCAATACTGCATACTCTGGGTTTGGTCATTTATTCAACAGACACTTCTTGGTTCCGCCATCTGTTAAGAGTCTGGCATCTTGGGACAATGTCCCCTTTTCTCCTGCAGCAGCTTCTCTGGGTATTCGCCTCCTCTCATCACTCTGAACATGTTCCTGGATTGCAGACACATTTCACGCCCAGCCTACAGTGAATCTGCTGTGGGAGCAGTTGTAGAGTGCATTCTAAAGCCAGCGAGAAGTTTTGTCTGTGTTTGCTGCCAGGTGTGGGAAGTGGCAGCATCTCGGCGCCCAGGGCCTCCTCTGGAATCAGTTTCTGGTCCTGCTCGTTGCAGGGCACACAGGAGGCTTTAGTTCTCAGGTGCTGGTGCTGGTGCTGCCTCTTGGCCTGTGTCTCTGTCTCAGTCTGGAGTTCTAGTTTTGAGTTTTTGGCCCCTTCTCCCTTGGTCTTGGTCTCTTCTCACTTCTCAGTTATGACATGTTCTCTTGCATCTGATTTATATACTGAGTTCTGCATAAGATCTTGTGATGGTTAATTTTATGTGTCCACTTGGCTGGGTTTGGTCATTCATTCAACAGATTTTATTGGTACCCAGATCAACGTGGTACGTGGATTTTTAGTCGAACTTATTCTGGATGGTTCTGTGAGGATGTTTTGGGCATGAGATTAACATTGAAATTGAAGGACTCTGAGTAATGCAAATTACCCTCTATGTCACGTGTGGGCCTCATCCAATCAGCTGCATGAAGGCCTTAATCAAAGACTGACCTTCCCCAGCAGGAGGGAATTCAGCCAGCAGATACTGTAAACTGCAGAATGGGCTCCTCTTTGGGTCTTCTTCCTCGCAGCCTGCCCTGCAGACTGTGGACTTGCCAGACTCCGTAATCACAGAAGCCAATTCCTCAAAAATAAATCTCTCTCTCTCTCTCTCTATTCATTTATTTATGTATACATTCATTCATTCATCTTCATTGGTTTTGTTTCTCGGGAGAACCCTGACCAATATAGATTTCATGTGAAAAAGGTTCACCTGCTAAACAGACCTTTAAAAACTGCCAGGCTTGAAAGTCCTTTCCAGTTCTACCAGTTTGTAATGCCAGGTGCTCTTTTCCTGGCTTTAACCCTGTGCCCTGATCCTCTGCCCTTGCTCTGACCGTTTTGGACCCCTCTGATCCTTGGATGCAGCTTCCTCCCTGGTTCCAGGTCTCTGCCTGGTTTTGACCTTGGTGGTCTGGGTCCTGGCTTAGTAGCCATTGCAAGTTAAATGTATCTAGCGATTAATTGTTTTCAAAATGTGTTGCAGACATGACTTCCCAATACCCATTTTACAGATGAGGATGCTGAGGTTAGGTTGGCTTAAATGACTTGCTCAAGGTCACACAATTAGTAAATAGCAGAGAGAGAGTTAAATGTCTTTGGACTCAAAATCCCAAGTGCTTCCCTCTGTACCATGCTGTCAGCCCATTTCCTGTGTTAACACCAGAGAACTGTAAGCATTTTTAATATTCCTCCAGCAGGGTGGAGCTGGAGACTCCACCCCCAGGGAGAATGGCTTCCTTCCTGACCAGGTGGAGGAACCTCTGCAGTAGTGAAAAGTGACCTCAGACGAACCACAGCAGCTGCTTGTCAAGCCAGAGCCCTCTGGAGCTGGCCAGGTTCCTGGCTGCCGCTGGCAGATCGTCTGTGATTCATGGCCATGCGAGGACTTTACGAGCTTGTGATAAAACAGTAATCATCAGCTGTGAAGTTGACATGAGATTATGGAGCTGCACAGTCAGACTGAGTTACTGTGCTTTCCCGGCGCTGTTCACGCGATGGCCACGGCAGTGTTGACCTAACAAGGTATCAGTGGTGGTAGGGCTCTGGGTGGAGTCTCCCAAGATGTCTTTCCTGGGGTGGGAATGTTGTTGCTGGGTGTGTGTGAGTGTGCACGGGGGACCTCAGGGTAGAGGGCTGAGTTAACCATCCCCCTCTGCTCATGAGGATGCCACCTTCCTCTCATAGGCCCATCTCATCTGTCAGCAAATCCTTTAACCTCTACCCAGACTGGGTGGTCCCTGCTCTCCCCTACTCTGTTGCCACTTGGGCAGAAGCCGCCTTCATCACTTGTCTGCCTGACTGCAGAGCCTCCTGTCTGTCCTCCCCACTCCGCCCCTGCCCCTGCTCTGCAGCCTGTTCTCAACGCAATAGCAATACTGATTTGGTTCAGAGTTCATTCTCTCTTCTGCTCAAAACCATGCCCTGGCTCCCCACTTCACTGTAAAAGCTGAAGTCCTTACAGTGGCCTATAGGGCTCTGCATAGTGGGGCCGCTGTCACTCTCCTGCCCCCAACTTCCAGAACTCGTCCCCTTCACTCAGTGTCCTGGCTGTGGTGGCCTCCTTGCTGTCCTCAGACATGTTGAGCTCACCCCAGCTCTTCCAGGGCTCGGCACAGGCTGCTCGCTCTGCACGCAAGCTCTTCCCCCAGACTGCCACATGGCTGTTCCTCACCTCCTGTGCTTAGCAAGGCCAACGCCGCCACCTTATTAAAAATCACAACGCTCTGTCCATTCCGTCCCAACCCCCCTACACTGCTCTGCTTTATTCTCTTTTCCCATAGTACTTTTCAGCTTCTAACACACTAGACAACATATTTATCTATATTAACTATTGTCTATCTCCCTAGTAGAATGTAATCTCTAAGAAAAAAAAGGATCATTGCTCTTTTGTCATTCATGCATATCAAGTGTATATAGTAGGCACTCAATTAATGTTTGTGGAATGACTAAATAAGGGCTGTATTTTTCCATCAGATCAGAGACTCTGAGGGCCAGAACTGTTTTTCCCATTATATTGGAAGTTTCCCTAAGGCAGGAACAGTGCCTTCCCTGCTAAGGGTCTGTTTACTTCATGACACTATGTCTTTTGATCCTACCCTAGACCTAATGCTTTGCAAACCATAGCCAGGGAGTGGGGTGAAGTTGGAAAGGCCCCCTGCAGGCCTGGGGTGTGGAGCCCAGCTGTGCCACCAGGTCCCTGGCATGTCTCCCCTTGTTGACTGCCCACCAGCCATAGACCTAATGTGTGGCTTGCCCCTGGCCCCCACCCCCTGACCTCTCTTGACCTCTGGGTAGGTCAGTTGTAAACTGTGGGTGGAGCCCTGCTGAGTTTCTTTCCCAGTTTTATGTAGTCCTAACTAGCATCCAGCACATTTTCAGGGAAGTCCTCCATCCCAGGCACTAACTGGGACTCCAATCTCTGTCTACCCTGCCCCACTTCCTCCTCAACCCTGGCTTGGCCTACTTCTTTCCACTCTGCTCACCGAAAGGGTATTGGACTCTTGCAGGCAAGTCCCAAACACTGCCTGATTTTAGAATTGATATCCCTCCCCTGCCTCATCCCTGCCAGCCCCTTATATCAAACCCACTGATTAGGGGGCAGGGGGAGAACAAGGGGCCACTGAGGAAAGGCCCTTCCTTCCAGGAGGAGCATGACTGCTCTGCAGCTCCAGCCCGAGCCCTCTGAAGCAAACCTGCTCCCAGCCAGTGTCTGAGTGCCCCACTGCTGAAATGCGGGGCCCCCTGCTGATGGGCCCCATTGGCTGGGGACTGTCGGCCTTGCTGAACCCTCTCATGACTGCACTTTGGCCTACGATGCCGCATACCACCTCCCTTGCTGCTCTGCTTCACTCCAGGGTCAGATCTGCACCCCACTTGGGTAGCTCCCACTGGCCCTCCCAAATCTCGTGAGGACACAGACCTGGGCTCAGATGGCAACTTCCACAGCTGTAGCTTCTGCATCTGTAAACCGGAACAATCCACCCTAAGAGCATGGGAGCATTATACGTGTCTTGCTGCTGGGCTGCCCTTGTGCTCACTGCCTTGCCTGTGCTGATTCTAGCCCTTGATCTGGGTGGGTTCCCCTCCATCGCAGCTTTTCCATGCCCTGGATTTCTGCTGCCTGCCTCAGTCACCCTGGGCCAGAGCCTATGCAGCCCCAGCCAAGCAGCTCCTTGGACCAGCAGGCTCCACCAGGCTCCTGAGGTCTTTGCAGGAGGGGCTGGGTCCCGCTCAGGATGGCAGCTCATAAACTTGCTTGCTGCCGAAGCCGGGCAGTGCGTCTGCCCACATGGAGGTCCTACCTCATCTCACGAATGCGTGCTTTGGAGGAGCTTTCCACTCAGAGGCTTTTTTCTTAATCCTAAAAATGGAAATTACTTGCTTAATTTAATTTGTTTAATATTCCTATTAAAAAATGAGGTTCAATTAAGATGCCCAGAAAAACCATAATGTTCATTTAATAGAAGAATAGAATTTGAGTTCCACAAATGCATTTTTTCTCTTTTCTGTTTTTTTTTTAAACACAAATCCAGCTAAGTGAATTACTGATCTTTATTAGATGCTTTAATTACAGGTTGTTAATGGAAATATTACTGAAATTAAACGCAAATGTGTTAAACGAGGAAAAAGCATTATGTGTCCTTAAAATAACCAGATTCCAAGACTTTTTTGATATGGTCAATTGAAAAAGCACCTCAGAAACTAGCCCCTTAACTGTGGTAGAGGGGCCACCTTTCCGTGTAGGGTTGGCCTCTCCGAGGCCTGTGGTGCATAGACACCACCCTCATACGATAGAGGCTTTCTGTACATGGGCCAACTCTGCATGCACACGTGGGCAGGCCTCACAGAGGCCCAAAGCACCAGGGTGAGTCAACTCCTGCAACTTCTCAACAAGCCCTTTATGTAGGTACACATACACCCCAAACATATACACACACACACAAACTGTCAAGTCTGTAGACCTCTGTGTGAAAATTCAGAATCTCTCCATGCATTTATTCAACAAAACCTTCCTATGTTTCTTCTCCTTGAACACACTGACATGCCACGACAACAAAATCCGGTTTTGATGAAGCAGGCCCAGCACCCTTAGGAGTTTCCTCCATGGTCCGAAATGCCCACTCCCCAGGGCTGGTGGGGGTGTGCTCACAGCGCCTGTCCTTTCTGCTTCTTCGGTAGCCTCTCTTGCAGTGGCACTGCATACAGCTCGGGCAGCTATTTGGGAAACGGTGATTTTCCTCCAGGGCTGACAGTCTCTGGGGATGAGCTGGTACCTTATACCACCCAGCCTCATGTCTTGAGCCAGCTGGACTCACTTGACATGAATTAGGTCTCTTGCTCACTCTGACTAGCAGACCAGCTCATTCTTCACCCTGTCCCTAGGGGCCATTCCATCCTCCCAAATAACGAATCAAGTATGACTCTGAAATTTCCAATGATATCTACTCTCGACGGGGCTGTGTGGGCAGGCTGTTGCAGAGACGCGTGTAGTATGAGGTTCTCAAGCCAGCAGGCCTGGGTTGGAGCTCCTACACCCCCACCTACTGTTGGTGTGACCTTGGGAAGATCATTCGCCTCCCTGAAGCCCAGTTTCCTCAGCTCTAAGGAGGGGCTAATTACAGCTGCCCAGCTCCCTCAGTCCTGAGTTCCCTCAGCTCCTAAGCCTGCGTGCTGCTCTTCTCTCCTAAAAGTATTCCTTTGACCTTATGCTCTACTTTCTTTCCTTCCTTTTCCTCTTTGTCCCAAAAGCGTAGTCCTACATCCACGTCCTCGCTCCCATCCACTCATCATCAGTGTGCTATGACAAGCAACAGAGCCTACTGTAGCTACTTAAAGCAGAGAAGAAGTGGGGCAACCCCAGGGATCTTCCAGAAACTCCAGGAAAGCCAGAGGAGCCCTAGAGCTGGCACACAGGGAGGGTGCCCAAAGCCCACCACTGCTCTACACCAGAGACTCTACCAACCTTGGCTGCTGAGCCCCGGGGGTGGCTGGCACCACTGACCATTGGCTCTGGATGCCAAAAGTCTGGAACTGCTGATCCTCAAGCCAACACCTCCCTGCCACCCTAGCCAGAGAATGGATTCCACACGGCACCTGATTCCTCTCTTCGACGCCCAGAGTCTCACCAGTGTGATGGTTTGGTGGGGCCTGGGTCACGCTGGCTGTACCGCAGCAGCAAGGGAGGCTGGGAGAGAAGCTTCCTCCTCCAGGAAGAGTAACTGGCAATGAGAAACTTGCCACCAATAGGAAGGGCACTCAGGGGATGCTGGCAGGTGAGACTAGCATTCGCCACACCCTCACCCCATGCCCCACCTCTTCCATTGCCCCACTGCAGTGCTCTGGGGAGACCACCATGCTGGGCATCTTCTTTTTGTCCCTCCACATCCACTGTCACCCTCCTCCACCCAGCTCTCTGACACCAGAGGAGAACCTGGAGGACCTGCTTCTTCTCCCTGTTGTCTCACCTGAAAGGAGGCAGAGCAAGGCCAGGAAATGTAACTGCCTAATTTCCTACCTGAGGGGTCTTGCCAGGTTGTGTCCCTTCACCAGCTTCATGTCGACAGCTCTCCTCACTCAGCCCTCCCAGTCCACTTCATTGTTAACCTCTCCCTTTTCATGGTCCTTCAACCCAGGGAGCTAACGGCTCATGTTGTTCCCTGTTACCCCTTCCCAGGCCTGACACTCTCCTGAGGTTTCCCTGCACCGTATCGAATTGTTATCAAGACTCTCTGTTAAGATCCCACAATATTATGCAGTTTAAGAGTGTTGTTTCTTTTCTGCTAGAACCCAGATAAGACAGCCACAGTGACCTCCACTTTGACAGAGCCACTTAGTCTTGATCTTCCTCGACCTCTTGGCTGCATTTGACACTGGGTGACTCCTTCCTTCACACCCTCTGCTCTCCTGGCTTCCGACTCTCTGGCTGTGTCTGCTTGGCCTCATTCAGGGGTGTCTCCTCTTCTGTCTACCTCTGAGCATGGCTGTCTGCTAGGGTTCTGTTGAGGGACTTTCCCTCTTTCCTCTTGACCTGATCTCTATAGTTCTCTTAAGGTTTTAACCCTACCCTTGTGCTGATGTCTCCCAATTCTATGTCTCCAGCCTGTTTCCTGAGCTTGAGTACAGATACTGACAGGAAGTATCCACCCGGAATTCACTTGAGTATCATCAACTTGCAAAACCCAAACTGATTCATCATCCACCCCCCCTCACTAACTTGCTTCTCCCTGTGTTTCAAACCTTAAAGGTGATACCGTTCTTCTCCAACCCTACTCCCCTTTTCGTGATGGGAGACCTCATGATATGGGGGAGTGAAAGAACAGACCTCTCCTTCCAAGCCTCCTAGGTTTCAGTCTATCCCAGGGAAAGCCATTGCCCTCCTTATAGCCAGAGTCATGATTCTGAGGTGCAAACTGACATGTTAGATTCTACTAAGCCCTTGGTGCTCTGAAGGATGGAGCCCATACTCCTTAGCCAGACTGTAGCTTCACCCCTGTCCACCATGCATCAGCCTTAGTTCATGCCACTCCCTTTCTGCAAGACCATAATAAGCTGATTAGCTTATAATTTCAAACACAAATTGTGCTGTTGCACACCTCCATGATCTCGCTTATACAATTTCCTTTAACCCAGGGTGCCTTTCCCCCTTTCTTCCCCTATCACCTGCTCAGCCTTCAAGGCTCAGCTCCTATGTTCTGTCTTCCTGGGCTGATGTCCCAAGTGTGGGGACCATACATTCAATTCGTATTTATCATTTATACTGATTCTTCTTTGTGTCTATCACCCCTGCTAGACTATAATTTTCCTATGGCAAGGACTGTCCCTTAATCATTTCTAGCACTTAGTGTCTGGCACATAAATATTTATTGATCTGAATTGAAGGTATTGGCCTAGCTGGGTCACCGAGTCTCTAAAAGCACCAATACCCTGGAGACAAGATGTACAAGGAGATCCTCCTGTCCTTACCCAAAGCTGGTTTGGGTTTCCCAGAGGGAGCCCTGGGAAATCAAAGAACCCCAAAGCCCCTCCCCTCCAGTGAAGAGCTCTTAGGGCTGGGAGCAGTAGTACACACCTACTAGGAAAGACAGAATCAAGCCCTTGCATCTGGCCTGAACGTTCACTTCAGCCAGAGTTAGACCCCCTGACTCCCTCCCATCTTCTTGGCACCCTGCCTCTCTAGCAATGCCCCCATCCCAGTTCTCTCCCTGGAAATTTTACAGGTTTTCAAGACTGGAGGAGGCCATAAAGTATTAAGATCCAGAGCAAGGGCTTAGGAGTCAGACAGGCCCAGCTTAAAATCTTACCAGCTTTGTGGTCCTGGCAGTTCCTGGACAGCTGCAAGCTTGTTTCCTCGTCTGTGAGATCAGGTGATTACAATATCCAGATCATGGGGTTATCGTGAAGATTAAAGGAGATAAGGAATGTCAAGTACTTAGCTCCCAGCCTGGCACAGTAGGGCGGGCTGCCGATGGGGGAGACCCGAATGTCTTGAGCTGGGTGCGGGGAGGCAGGTGAGGGGGGTCAGGGGGACACACTCTATGGGGACCGTTTGTGGGGATGCTAACTTGCTCTCTCCTAACACCGAGGACCTGGGTACACTGAGGGATTGTGTCTAGTTCCTAAAAACTATTTTACCCAGATGACTCTCACAGGGAGGCTTGTTCAGGATGAGCAGGCAGCTTCCTGCTCCTGGCGTCTGGAAAGATGCCCCCACGGCTGTCCACGGAGTGAAGAGCACCGGCAGCCACTGTTGACCCAGAATGGTGTCAAGGAAACGCTGGCTGTTGAAATGTCATGGAGCTAAAGCTAGGAGGGTCCTCCTTAGAGAAAGCCAGAGCCTGGAGAGGCTTTCACCAACGCTGCCCCGTGCATGCGCCCCCGGTGTGTTCCTGCCCTGCACGGGGTCCTAACACTTCAACCCGAGGGCATGTCGCCTGCCTGGTCGGAACAGGTGTGGCCCCTCCGCCTCCCCAGGTGGGCACCCCGGAGCCCGGAGGACAGCGCCTCCAGCTTCCTCCGCAGAGGTGGGAGGAAGTCAATACTCCGTCGCCGCCCCAGGGCTACCGCGATCCTGGGCGGGGAGGCAGCGCCCTCCCACGCGCGCTTCCTGCCGGGCCCGGGAACAAGGCGGGGCTGGCACCCCGACCCTCCCCCCAGCCACGCCGGCCCGGAGGCTCCTCCCGCTCCTGCGCGGTGGGCCGTCCCCTCCCCACTTCCACCCACGGCAGAAGGAGGCGCCTACGCGCCTTAACTGGGTGTGAAAAGTTAATTCAGGTTTAAACGTGAAGGCTTAATGCAAGGAGAGTGCTGCGGAGGAATTGTGCCCTTTTTCCCCAAGAGGACGGCACGCCCCCCCTCCCCTCCCCACCGCCCAGCCCTCCGTCAGCAGCTCGCGCGCCCGCAGCCCTGGGCCTTGGCCTCTCCTGAGTGCCTTCCGGGGTCAGAGGCCCGCAGCAGCCCTCCCCGCCCTGAGGTGTCAGGGGTGGGCGGAGGAGGCGGAGTACTAATTAGGGAATCTGGAGAAGAGATCTGCAGGGGTAGTTGTAAATAGCTGGGTGGCGCCTGGGTCATTTGCCAGCCGTGAGCCAGGCCCCTCCCCCGGAGCTCTCAAACCTTAGTCTTCTTTGACCCTCGGCTAGGTGCTGCGGGGGCCTAAGGAGCTCCAAGACATACTCCTTCCCTCCAGGCACTGGAGCACAATTGGGATTTGCTCTTGTTATGTTATCGTTTATTATTATTACTATGTTATGAACTTCCTGAGCATGTCCTGTGGGCAAGGCACTGTACTAGGCACATTATAGGTTATTTCATCTTGCTAGCAAGCCTATGGAGGTAAGCACTCTTGTCCCCATTGTACGGATGAGGAATTAGAGGCTCAAAGAGGTAAAGGCACATTGTCCATGGTTCCACAGCCAGAGACGAGCAAAACCGGGCTCTGATCCCTGTTTTCTTTGATGGTGAGCTGTTGTGCTGCCCCCTCTATTAGCTGCCCTTTAAGAAAGACACAGCCCCAGGGATGGAAACAAACAACCTCAAATCATATATGGGAGTGTGTACTTCTGCACAGCAGAGAGCGTATGATGCTTGGAAGTTCTAAGAAGGAAGATCACAGCAGGTTTGGGTGCCCAGGCAGGCTGCCTGGGTAGGAAGCGCCGCCTGCTTTGAGGTAGGTTATTAAAAAGCATGGGAACTTGCTTCCTTATTTCCCCACCTCCAGGGTCAGCACAGCTTCCCTCCTCACCCTCTCCACCCTGAGCTCATTCTAGGGACTCACATTTCTTCTGTGATGGGAGGACTTCTAGCCAGTTCCCAGGCCCTGGGGAGGAAGCACCAGTCAGTATGCCATCTCCCATCTGGACGGGGTGCCCATCACAGATGTCCATCCTGTCATGCTGTGATTGAACCGAAATGGCCTCCATGCCCTGTCTGTCTCTCCCAGAGCTGATGGAATAGAGAGAGGGCCCAGGAGTCTGACCAACACTGCAGGCTGTGTGGGGGACAGAGCCTCTGTGTCTGCTAGAATAGCAGTTCTCCAGGGGTTGTCAAATCAAGGGACTTTTCTCTTCACAGCTGCGTTTGTGTTTCACTTTCATCCAAAGAGCCTATGGGGTGAGCTGGTGCTGCTCAGACACTGCATGGAAGTCTCAAGGGCAACTGCTGCGGTCAGCAAAGTGACCTCCTGACCCAGAGAGCCACAAAATGCCCAGGGGGTGTAGGGAGGGCAAGCCGGTGGAGTTCAGAGGCTCAAAGAGGTCTGGAGACAAGCTCAAGGTCAGAGTAAATCAGGGGAAGCAGAATCCCAAATCTGCATTTCTAGGTTTCCAACAGGCCTCCGCTCCTCAGAACTCCTGCTCAGTTCCACTCTTTTCCTCTTCGGGTGTGCCTTTAGGCCAGAAAGCCCATGAACAGGACAGGAGCAGAGGGTCCCCCTGTGCCAGGTGAATGTAGGCCATACTGATTGCTGAGGCTTGTTCAGCACTCATTAGGTGCCAGGCACTGGGAAAAGAGAATTCTCTCTCTCAATCCGCAAGATGACTAGGTGGGTAGATTATTCATATCATCTCCCTTTTAAAAATGTGGAAAATGAGGCTTAGATTGACTTGCTCAAGACCACCCAACTATTAAGTGGTGGGACCTGCATTGGAAATGAGGGGTACAGTGGTGAACAAGACAGGCAAGGTCTCTGCCCTCACAGAGCCTGCGGTTTAATGGAGCAGGTGAATGTACCATCCATGAGACACAGGGGAAACTAGCATGCTTTGCCCAGTAATGAGTTCCCTACAGCACCGATTCTCCACTCAGGCTGCCAGGTAGGATCATGTGGGGAGCTAAAGAAACTAGCAATGCCACAGCCCCACTCCAGACCAATGGAACCCAGACCACTGGGAGGAGGCTGGGCAGCCATTGGTGTGCAGCACAAACTCTCCAGGTGATTGCAGTTGACTACAGGTTGAGGACCACCACTGGCCAACAGCTACCAGAACCCCTGAACGAAGCAAGCACAGAACATGTGTTTTAAACTAAAGAATTGGGGGAGTGTTATGACCATCAGGGCTGCTCCTTTGGAAGAAGCAGTGCCCCTCAGAACATGAGTGGAAGGCAAAAAGGGCTACTGGGGAGACCCCAGACAGATACACCCCCACCAGGCTGCCCCAGATAACAGAATGGTGGTGGCAGAGCGACAGGCTAATATGAATTATCTCAAGGCCCCTGGCTGTCATCTGCCTGAGAGATTTTATTTATTTATTCCAGTTTCCAAAGAGGGTCCTTTTGCTAGACTGCCTTGAGATTTAAGTGTAAAATGTAAAGCACTAATTAAAATACATAAAACATGGCATGGAGCAATTAGAGTGGCAGGAAGTAGCACAGAGAAAGCTCATCAGCCGTGAGTGTCTGAGACTGGGTGGGAAAAGGCTATTTACTGGATTGAGACTGCCGTGCCCCAGGCATTGGCAGGCAGGGGTGAGGGGGCGAGGCCGTTACAGGAGCCCCGCTCCTCCAAGCTGGATGTGGAGAGATGGTCTTTAACCATAAGGAGCCCCCGTCTGAGGGGAGACATGGCCCTGCCCTCGGGGAGCCCCAGTCTGAGGGGAGACACAGCCCTGCCTTTGGGGAATTTCTCATCAGTGTCTGGGTGTCCAGTGAGTATCTTCGTATCACCTGTGTGTAGTCAGTTGATTTTGTGTGAAAGTGCCAGCTGAGTAATTGTGGTTATTCTCAGTCCCACTGGAAACTTTTTAGTGTGTGAAAAGAGTTTTAATTGGACCTGTGTGCTATCACTTATACAGTTGTGATTTTATAAACATTTTGTCAAAGAATATCTTTTATTCCTGTATCTATCTCTACCAGCTGATGGCCAAAGAAGACCCATAATTTATATGTTTACTACTACTAATAAAAGCTGATAGTTACAGCTTTGTGTCAAGTACCATTCTAAAAACTTCATACACCATAACTCATTATTATCCTTACAACAATCCAATGTGATGGGTGCTATCAGCCTATTTTATAACTGAGGAAACTGAGGCACAAAATCTAACTCCTTGGAAGTCACACAAATGGTGAGAGGCTGACCTGGTGCCAACCTAGTTGTGCTAATCACAGAGCCCTTACACTGAAGCATGGTACTACCTGAGGGTGGCATAGGGGGCTGAGTCCCACTGGGTGCCCTGCACTCCTTGAGGACCGACCTCTTAGCCTGATGAGAGGGGTGTGTGCAGACCCCACCCTTAGGAACTGTGTTGTCCATTTGTGTGCAGGGAGTGAGGGTTCTGGGAGCAAACACAGCTCCCAGTGTGACTTGTGAGAAGCCCCTGCCTCTGTGGTTCTGAGTTTACCATCTGTAAAATGTGGAAGCTGGGTTAGATTAACCACTGGTGCTCACAGAACCACTGTGGGCAGGTTTTTCAATATATGGATTCATGAGGCCCAGTGCTGGGGATTTTGATTCAGCAGGTTGTGTGTGGGGCTAAGGACTCAACAACAATAAAACAATAATAATAATCCCTATCACCCCAGACATTAGCAGCTGGTATTTATTGAGCACCAACCATGTCCCAGACCCTGTGCTATATGCTTTCGAGTGACTATCTCATTTAATCACCACAACAATCCTGTACTGATGATCCTGTTATTATCCTCACTTTAGGATGAGGAAGCTGAGACTTAGAGAGATGGAGTGGCTTTCCAAGGTCACGAGCTGGCAACGGCCACAGCTGGGACTTGCACACGGACAGCCTGACTTCCGCACTGATGTTCATACCCATTACGTTACACTGGCACTTTGCTTGTTCAGCCCAGTGCCATGCCATCCCCCAGATCCTGCTGAATGGGCAGCGGACAAAGTGACCTGTCCTACAGCTGCATGTCCCAGGTCTGGGCAAGTGACTCAAACTAGCCAGTGGACTGGCTGGCCAACAACAGTCAGAGAGTTTCTCTTGAGGATTTGAACTACAACATGGAGATGAGCCTGGAACCGTTTGGATGGCCTTGTGTCCTGGGGTGATAGGGTCAGGGGTGGGCTAGAGTTGGCACATGGCTACTCAAAGGTATATTGACATTGATGTATGGGGAGCTTTTCAGAGGAGGCGGGCTTGCAAGATGGGAGAGGAGCAGAACGACAGACAGAAGGGAGACCAAGAGATGAGGAGGAGAAGGATGGTTTCTTGGTGCCTTTCTAGGTCTCTTGAGCCCAGCCTGCACTGTCTGAAATGAGGGTGCCTGCTCTTGGCCAGGGTCTTTATGATAAATCCCCTCTCCTAAAGCTAACTCAGTGGGCTTCTGATCCTTACAGATGAATTTTTCCTTAAAGCACTTGCCCTGACTTCCCAGCAAAGTTTTAGGATCAAATCAGATCATGTACGTGAAAGGGCTCAGTGACCTGGAAAGAACTACACCAATTATGGAATATCTGGAAAACAGTTCTGAGCTTAAATATAATCAGTGGCTGGGTTGCTGCAAGAAGAGCTGAGCCAGGAAGATGTACTGCATGGAGGGTTTAAGGGAACTCTGCAGGGATTTGCAGCAGGCATAGGATCTGGACAGCAAGAGAGACAAGGAGGGCCCTCCAGGCAGAGGACAGAGCATGAGCGACCACGTGAAGAAGGTGGTGAG